TCCAGCAATTCCTGGCAGCCCCATGTCTCCTTTTTCACCACTTTCTCCAAGGAGTCCCTGATCTCCGGGGTCTCCCTAAAACAAAGAAAACAAAAACAAACAAACAAAAAACCCCCAAAAGCTTAGTCAAGCTGCTGCTATGGAATTATTATTCTTGAGAAAAGTGAATTCTGAATCTTCAAGTTTGACAAAAAGCACACTAAAACTGATGGGAATCTTACCAGTCAAATTCAGATCAGGCTCCAAGTTAGGGTAAAGTCCTTTCTATCTCATTCATACACTCCTACAGCCAGATTTTACCTCATCCATCGCCAGCTACCTGAGGGTGTCCTCTGTGGCATCCTGTCCTGGCAGCTGCCACAGCCCCTGGCACACCATTGGTGTATTGCAGGGAGTGGAGCAGCACTGGGCTCACTCTCTCCAGCATGATTGTCACCATGGAAATAAGCTGTACTTAGTTCTCCAGCTTGCATTCCTCTGTCAATCCATTCAACTTTGCAGCCCTTTCAGGGTAAGTACGTGCCTAAAAGGCACAGGAGAGCCTATAACATATAGGGCCTCCTATGTTAAAACTAAGTGTACTCAACTGGGCTCTGCTGACCTGGTGAAATAGGAAGAAAAAAAAAAAAAAGAGATTTGGGTCCTTAAGCTAATATGACTGCTTTACATCTGCTACAAAAATATACCTTTGGGCCATCTTTTCCTTGAACACCATCTTCTCCTGGAGGTCCTGGTTCACCCTTATAAAAAGGAACAGATGAAAACAAAATTATTGCCTAAACTTCTCAACATAGACGTATTGTCTTGGAGGAACTCAGACCAGTTTTACAAATACTTATTATTTTTTGGACAACTTTTATGTTGCTGTTATAGTGTATTTGTCTTAATTTTTCACTGATTTACAGTGAGAGTCGCAGCCCTGTGAATCTTGAACACAGGAAAACATAAATGATGATCAGCATTAGTAAATAAGGCAATACTATGTCCATATAACACTGGAGATTTGGACAGTGGAACTGAGATTGTTTGGTTTCAGAGTATACAACATGTAATTACAGTAACCTCAAAAATATACTTACGCTGTCTTGAAACTTCCATGTTTATGTGGATACTACTATATTGGTATGTTCAGTGACTCAGTTTAGGGCCATGAAAAACTCATCATTTACCAACAGTATTACCACCACGGCATTTTATAATGTTTGCCTTTCTCAGGTAAAGACAGTGGCAACTTGCAACTTCTGACACTGGTGGTAAAAAAGCAAATACAAGCTGCCCTATACTAATAATGCAGTATTTCAGACATAGTGGTATGGTAAAGTCTAGAGCACCAGTACCAGGAATTACTCTTCTCCAAGGACAGACAGAATTGTGGAATGCACCTTGCTAGAGATTTTGGGAAAGAAGAAAAGATGCCAGCAAGGAGCTAATGGAACAGAAGAGCTCAATGGTGAGACTTAAGTCTGAAAGCATATGGTTTATGCTCTTAAAAGCATCGTGGATAAAATCTGTTTCTAGCACTTTAAAAGGTTTTTTCAGCCTTCAAAGGTAGGGTCAGATGAGGGGGGTAAGACACACAGGAAGAATATATAGGGCACAAGTGCTTGATAAAATCAAGTGCCAAATGAACCATCCACAGCACTAGAAGCAAATCAGCTGCTGCAGATGGTGGTACAGAGAGATACCCTGTTCTGCTGAGACTATAATGTTCCCATTATCTTCTCTAGACTGGGTATCTGTACACAGCATTATTGTGTGCTGTCATCTTAACAGCTGAGCTGGACACTCTTGGGTTTACCTTCATGCTCAAACCACTCCTTCATGTCTCTCAGTAACATAAGACACTTCACACAGAAGTATTTCAACTTTGTAATCAATACTCTTTTTAACTTGCTACAATATTACAAGTTGTTTTTTAAAAGCTATCAGAAGATAACTTCTTACTGAATTCTTCTCTTAAATCAAGGTTCCTCAACCTGCATCTCTGACACATGCATTACATACTTTCCTTTTTGAAAGAAGATTTGCATCCATAGCTTACCCTTAAACCTTGGTTGCCTGGTTCTCCAGCCTTCCCAGCAGGTCCAATATCTCCCTGGAATATCACAAGAAAAATAAATCATCAGATTTTAAGGGACAATATTCTTAACAATTACAGGGTTTTCAGATAACGCTGTCATCATGACAATAACAATATTTCTTAATGGCTCATTTCCTATATCACTGCCTGCTTGGATAATGTATCAGATCACTCTGATTTGCTTTTATGGAAATCTGAAAATGTAAACAGCACAAGAGAGAATAATTTCAAAATTTACCTTTGTGCCTGGTTCTCCCTGCAGGCCAGGTTCTCCTTCAGGGCCAGGAGGTCCCTGCATGGTACAAGAGCTACTGTTATACATGGTCACCAATAATAATTTTGCAACCACCAAATAGCACAGCCAACATTGAAGCAGAAACACGGTATAAGACACTGGGAAAGATGCATGTCTGAAAAATCAAATTAAGTCAATGCAGTTCTTTGTTCTTACTAGAGCCCAACAGAAGAAAAGAAAGGAGGGTATAGGAGGAGTTCAGGAACTGCACTGTGGGTCAGGAATGTATTGAAGACTCAGCAGTACCAATAAGGCTGCATCTTTCATCATACATTACTAGCAGGCTGAGCAATCACCTATCTTTCATAAATCTGACTGACAACTTCATCACTGTTTGTGCTTGGAGCCAAGCAGATACAGCTTTTGGAAAACAAAGCTCTTTTCAGAATTTTCAGCCGTTAAAGAGTTAATGGTATCAGGCTGTTTCTTGTAAGGTTACTTTAAACCTTTTTTTAATAGAAAGTCAGAAGACGGGATTTTGGGTGACTGAGGAAAAGTGTTTCTTCAAATAAGCCAAATCCCTTCTGTTCTATGTGAGCTCATATCTCAGCTACTTCGTTCCAAATGTGGCTAATACATTCTGTCATATTTCTTTCAAAGAGAGATTAAAAACAAAGCAAAAAATAGAAGCAAAAGTTAGCAAGAAGGTTGTCTGCAGCTGCTTTTCTTCATCTACCATTTGCAAGAAAATATGATTAATGCTGTTATGCTGTTCTACTGTATAACTGCCAGAAGAATGGTGCTTCTGTAAAAAAAAAAAAAAAAAAAAGTAACTAAACTTTCACCTTCTAGGTGCAGATGTCATATGAATGTATGCCCAAAGACAGTGCTGATAACAGAAAAAGCTACTTATTTTAGACTTTTTTTTTTTTTTTTGTAACAGCTTAAATAAGAGAGTCTCTCAGCAGCTCATGTTATTTAAGTCAGGTAATAAAAAGAATTTCTAAACACATTGCCCAAGCTTATTCACTTGCTTGAGTATTTGTAATTACTATATAAATTATTAAAATCTCACCTCAAAACCCATTTCTCCAATAGGGCCAGCATCCCCTGGTTGTCCTCTTGGACCCTGGCATTAAACAAAATTTTGGATGCATCATCCAATTAACATTAAATTACACTGCATAGTCTTGACCTTGTCTCTTCAGAACTCTTCCAAGTGGCATAAATAAGGGTATTTCATTGTCTTTCCTCCTGAATCCAACAGTGTATATAAATACCATGATGGCATATGGTACTGAAGACCTCATTGCCAATCTTGACACACTGAAATAACAGATTTCAAAAAATAGTACAGATGTCTCTTCTTTTAGACCAAAAGTAAATTATTATCTAAACTAAGCTCTCCTCTTGATTAACTGAGACTTTGTTTAATTAAGGTTTATTAGACTGTCTGGTTTGCTTTGTAGAAAAGCCTACAGTCTGGTATGGAATTGTCTGAAAACAACTACTGTGTGCTTCTCTGCGGACTTAGCAATGTTTGTACAGGACAATCACTGAAGTGTAATGACTAAGGGCTGGAGGCTTTTTGGTAATATTAGTAATTATACTATGAGTTTTCTTATAAACCCTGCCGTAAGTAATATATTTACTGCAGTAACACGTTTGGATTGTTTCATAAAGTGGCATGCTCAAATACTCTGCACATGCTAGATTGCTCACCTCTGCTCACAGAGAGGGATTTCTGTGTTGGAGGGTAGAGTTTGCCTGTAACAGCTTACAGCTGATTCCATAGCCACTATAAATGTATGTCAAGACAAATCAATCCTCCGGATGTATCCAGTCTTTGAACTTTCAGAAAGTTCATATCAATCTATCCCTTTGAGACTTATCTGTGTTTAAGTACGTTCTACATTCAAAATATTTTGTTGATCTATTATTCTCATGTAAACAAAAGATGCTGCTCTCCATATATATGATAGAAGCCTTTTAAGTAAATATTTACTCTTTTTTTGTTTCACATGCTCTTACGGACTATGCATATGGTTTTGCTCCTCCTGATGACTTGGCAATGATAATGCAAGTACATTCTTCCTTTAAAACAACAATGTAACATTTTACTGAGGGGATTTCAGCAGATGCATATATTTTACCCTATAGCTTCATTTAAGTGTGAAAACTGCAGTTAATTTCCCACTCAGAATTCACTTGGTCCTAAACTAAGTCCATTGCTTTTCATTTGCAGCGACTTCATGGCATTCCACTAGGCAAGTGTCACAAAGCTTAAGTTTGATTCACGAGTCAAATATTTCTTCTTATATCACCATGGAGCTAAGTCTGCTGGATTGGTAATGTATGTTTCCCCCAAGATTTTCAGAAGCCAAAATTTATAGCAGTATAGGGATTCCTTTTAACCATTAACAACAGGTAATTTTCAAAAGATTTTACTGAAATGTCTGTCAAGTAGGTGAAGTTAGAGTGTAATTTAGATCTAGCCTATTACTACAAATAGCTCTAATTGCTTATGTTTCTCTGCTCCTCCACCAATAATCAGGTATTTTCTGCTCTGTGCAGCACTAGTGACAGGGCCAGAGAAACTGCTTCAGCAGCTGGCTTTCATGTAGCGACCAGCTAACAGAAGATGAAATCAAGCTGCTTGGATGGGCAGTTAAAAGCAGAGCCATGTGTTTAATTTCATAACACCTTGTGTCATTTTCATTACTTCTTTCTAGCTCCACAGACCATTTTCTGAAGACATTTTACTCTTTCAGCACTTGAAAGAAAAGGTACCGCCTCACAGGATAAGCTTTTCTTACTTCTGACACTGCCCATGTAGATTCTACAATGATGAGCACACCAGAAATGTAGGTTGCTCAAGAGCAGACCACTTAGATTAGATAAGGCTGATAGTCATTTTATATATATATATATATATATATGAAAATTCAGACTTCACAAGGAAATGGCAGGAATTTTATGTATAAACCTTGCATTGTAAGGCTCTCAGAAGTCACAACATGAAGATGAGATAAAATAAATGAAAGAGATGAAGTAGCAGGAATCCAGTAATAACCCTTAGAAAATACTTTTTTCTGTCAAAATATTTTGCCACTCCTACAAGTTGGCAGCTCAAGCTAAGTGGGCAATTACATCCAAAAGAAAATTTACCAAAAAAGTTGGTATTTTTCCAGCTCCCAAAAATGTGCAATGGCTTTCTGTAAGCATGTCAGCCTATGGATTAGCAGAAATAATATTTAATAATATTAGAAATAATAATAATTAGTGAAAATAATATACTCTATATCAACAGTTCACTTTCAAGATTTAAATTAACTATATGTAATTTTATGTGCAAAATAACTTTTCAGAAGCAATGAAACACACAATTTTTGACAACTCTATTAGATTTCTGCACTATAAAATGGCAGCCTCCTCCCAAATCCCACTAGGACAGCACACACACTTTCACTGTATATAATCTGATTTACCCCCAGAGATGGTGATGCAATACTATTCCTCTCATGGCTACACCTTGCAGCACTTTGCATATATTTCCTGCACATTCTGCATGATCTTCTGTTACAATATTAGCCACATAAAAGTGCGGCTTTGAGATAATAACAATCAGAACAAGAATCCATCCAGCAGAGGAATGTCTGAGGTTTATTATAACAGTCTCTTTTTTGTTGAAAATTTAACCTGCCAAATAGATGTGGTCCCTGAGTTCCTGAATAACTATCCTAAAATTTCCCTGAAAAAAATACCACTAATATCTGTGTTGACACATATATTTACATAACCTGTAATGTAGACGTCTACCTCAGCACAGCATAAAGCCACATACTGTGGTCCAGATTCTGTCATGCTCTCTTATGTTGTGCACCCCGTACTACAGTGCTTCCCAACATGATGAACAAGTCTCCTTATGAAGAAATTATGCTAAGCAAGGGAGGCAGACTCTAGCCCTGCAGTTTTCAGTTTTGAAACAATTACACCATAATTCCTATCTAACCACAGCTGGCAACACTGAATCTTGGTAAAATGAAGCCTGAGTTACCAGGGAATTCAGTATAATATGTGGAAAATTTTTAAGCAGGCATAAGGATCAACTTACCGGCTCTCCCATTGGTCCCCTGTCTCCTGTGGCTCCAGGAGGCCCAAGCAAACCCTGGAAGATTAAAATAAAATAAAAAATCATAGGAAACAAGCTGTTTCATATTCTGTGAAAAGCCATTTCCTCTCTTATTTCTGCTTACTCAAGCAGAAACATATTTACTGCTCAGAAACACCCAAGAAATATGTGCAGCCTTTTCTTCTGGTTGACATGCACTGTCACATCACTACCTCCTGTGGGAGGTGGGGAAGCCCTTAATAAATCATTGAATCATAGAATAGTTTGGTTGGAAAAGAACATTACAATCATCTAATCCAACTGTAAACCTATCATTGCCAAGTTCACCACTAAACCATGTCCCCAAGTACCACATCCACACATCCTTTAAATACCTCCAGGGATAGTGACTCCACCGCTTCCCTGGGCAGCCTGTTCCAATACTTGACAACCCTTTCAGTGAAGAGTTTTTTCCTAATATCCAATCTGAATCTCCCCTGGCACAATTTAAGGCTGTTCCCTCTTGTCCTATCACTTGTAATTTGGGAGAAGAGACAACACCCACCTCACTACACCCTCCTTTCAGGTAGTTGTAGAGAGCAATAAGGTCTCCCCTCAGCCTCCTCCAGACTAAACAATCCCAGTTCCCTCAGCCACTCCTCATAAAAATCCTTCCTTACTTTCTTTTACATAAGGATGGATCTTAGCTGACCCACCATTTACCAGTTCCTCATCATTCTTAGACTCATGTGCTGCCTGTGTGTGCAAACTGGGCCTAAACACAATCTTACAAGCATTTGGCTCCATAAACTGTGTTTGAGATGATCAGTGAGTTTCATAGCCCACTTTTCTTTCTCTTCAACCTGGCTCATAGCATGTGTGTCTCATACTCTCTTCTAGAAACTGTAGCTGTGGGAGTAATAGAGCAGTATCATGTACTTTGCAATAAATGTAGTAATTCCCATCATTTCAAGCTAAGGTTTTGCTTCATTCATTTCTGTAAAAATAAATACATCTAAAAATCCTAGTGTATGAAGAAGAAATGAAAACCCATTGTGTCAAAGGTTAGAAGCAACAAGCTCCTAAATCTGCAGATTAGGAGCAGAAGAGGCAAGAGAAATACAGTGACAACCAACACTGAGTCTCAATTTCAGCACAAAATCATCACTACTACTGCTTTGTTTCTGCTTTTCTCCTTCTTTCCTTATTGAAAATCCAATATAATTTGGTCTGACAGGTAACCTTATTTGTAAAAGAAAGCTCAAATATAAGATGTTAGATTTCCATTGAAAGAACAAATAAAAGGAGGAATTCTCTCCTACACGTGATAGACATTTTACACATTTTTCTACATTTACCACAACATTGATAGTACACATCTACTCTAAAATCTATCAAAGAATTATTTTTCTACGTCACCAAGACTTCCTCCCTTAAAACTATGATAAAACTGAGAAAACCAAAGCAACTTCTAGAACACACCTACTAAGTACAATGATCATTTCTTCTGCTGCAATTTGCTAACATATTGTCTTCTATGGACCACCATCCATGAAAACATTGGTCTTGTAGCAAACTAGACTGTGTTCACACTTACTCTCCCTTCTGCCTCTGATTCTTTGTATGAATAAATGCAAACCCTACTGTCAATTTTTTTCCCATTACTCTAAAGTAGACAAATTCCCTCATAAATAAAGTATGAGACTTCGTGGATTTTTTTTTTTTGTAGAAGTACTAGGGAATTTAATACTTACAAATGCACCCTGATCTCCTCTTTCTCCGGGATTTCCAGCTTTACCCTGGTCAAAGAGAAATTTTGAAAGACAATGCCAGCTTCAGAAATTAGTAGTAACTCTGTTAAGGCTTACTACAAAGATTGGCTTCAATACTTACAATGAGCCCAGGAACTCCTTTCTTTCCTGGACCACCTCTTTCTCCCTGTTAAAAAAATCAACAATGTGTGAATTCTACATGCATTTGCTAGATAAGCTGCAGGCAGTTGCTGTCAGTTTAAATGCTGGGTAACTCTGCAGAAAGTGTAGATTCAGGTTTAGATGGGCTTATACCATAATAAAGAAATACCTGAAAAAGGCATAAATTTGCGATTCTCCTCCTGGATTAAATAGAACTTTATGGCTTCTGACATGCTAGGTTGTTTTTTTGTTTGTTTTCTTATCTGTTATGGTCTCTCTCAATGCTTCGTATAGTACTGAGCAATGTTAAACACTCACCTTAATGCCTTGTGTTCCTGGTTCTCCTGGAGGACCGTCTAGGCCTCTTGGCCCCTGAATATTGAACAAATGATTTGGTATATTAATTATGCATTACTTTTGGTTATCATCAGGGAGATGCAACATAAACTTTAGGAGAAGGGAAACGAGTTTTGTTAGCATGAAAACCAATTTTCATTCTACGTTAAGTGTGAAATAAAGCTTGAAAGAATAAAATAACTTTCTGGTTTGCTGAAATATTAATTTAAGAAGAAAGATTTTTTTGAAAAATACGTAAACAAAATGTTCAGGGTCTCTGTTGGAGCCAGCCTGCAGGCTGATATTTTCTGCTCTTTTTTCCATCTACTTTGTATGCATGCAACGGATGCATATTTAGAAGAATTTAGATGAGCAGTGGTTATATGGAGTGCTTGCTTTTGAGCATATTATAAGTTGTATTTGCAAAAATCCAGCCTGATAGTAAGACTCTAAAACAAGCAGATAAAGTTCTTCCATTAGTAAACCAGTTTGAGGCAAGATTAAAAGCAATTTAAAATCTTGCATAGTGAACTGCTCTGTTGTTAGACTAAAATGCCTCTTGTAAATTGACTTTTTATAACCAACAGATGAACAAAGATAACCTGTTATATTACTGTATTATAATAAAGCAAATATTTATTGCCAAAACATTCAGAAATGATTGTTTAAGACTGAAAAATCTAAATCCATTAGTTCACAAGTAAATGAAAAAATCCTTAAAATAGATCATGAGCAAAATGGAAAAGAATATATTATCCATGCTGACTTAGGAGATTATTTCCCTAATTCTAAACACACTGACTGTTTGGGTATAGAAAATAAAATTAAAACCAGTTAATAACAATCTAAAACGAATGACCACTTTAAAGCAAGAGCTAGATAAATAGCAAGACAGAGTCAGGCTCTTTACAGCAGTATGCAGTGGGAGGATGAGACACAACAGCTTTCCCGGTGGCACCTGAGCTGGACTGTCATTAGAAGGAAGTAGCACATGTTATGGCAGCACCTAGAGGAAACCAATTTGCATTTTCAGACTGCATTTCTGAGTTGTAGAGAACCTTACATCTTGGGTCACAGTATGGTGTGACCCATTATTGGCACAGATTAACTGGATCTGTGCAATTTCCTACTATAGCTAGTACAGAATGAGATACACACAATTTGCCTGCTGTTATTTAATTTAAGCTGCAACAGTGCTGAGGAGCAAGGCTGCCAAACAGTTGCTATTACTTTTTTCTTTGGCATAGGTTCAGCTTTGTTTCTAAAACAGAACATTGAAAACTCTAGGATAATAAGCTGAGAAAAAGTTCATCTAACAAGGCAAGAAGCACCAATTAACTCTCTTCCTTCTCATCCTGCCTCCTGAATATAAAAAGAGTGAAAATAACTTAAACACATTATGTAGCTACTTTTCTCTTTTGGTTCTTGACACGGAAGAATATTAGAAAATAGCATCAATTTTAGTCTCACTTCATTTGAACAATTAAGAAAGATAAACACACTCAGCTATTGATGTATCACAAAGCACACTGGCCGCCTGCTTCATATAACCCTGAAGCACACAGATTTCTCTAGGTTCCATGTTCCCTGCTGTGAGAAGCATGAAAGATCATTCATTAAAACTAAGTGCTGATGTGCTTAGGTTATTGAGGTTCTTCGTTCCAGTACAGACACAAATGAAACAGAGATAACCTTACTGGCTGCTACAGACATAAGCTGCTGTTGCCTGACCCCAAATTTATGGCAGTTTGCTACGTTATTTTCCTGCATTTGCAAAATTGAAATTTATGAGTTGCATTCAAGGAAAGTAAGAACAGAAAAATTATTGCTTTTAAGCTTTTAAACACCAAACATCAGCCTGAAGAATACTAACTGCTAAGAATCTTAGCAGCTATTGAGAATTTTGCTTAGGTCTCACTCATGAAATGACTCTAATGATACAGGAAGTCTTCCTCTCAAATTAAAAGTTACAGTTGTATTAGAGATTATGGTATGAACTAAAAGCAGCATCAGTCTCTGATACTGTGGTTTTCTTCTCCATACATCAGCAAACAAGAACAACAAAAAAACCATGCAACAACAGCTTCAAGGCTACCTACACTGCCACCAGCATGTCCTCCAGACTAACATATTTCTTCCTTCTGGTCATGGAGAGAAATTCCTTCTCTTAGATACAGAATATTCTCACTCCCCAGAGTGTCATTCTGCCATGGAAGTATCTACAAACGAGTGTTCTCCCTCTGTGTTTTCATGAGAGTTACATAAAAAAAAAAAAAAAAAAAAAAAAAAAAAAAAAAAAAAAAAAAAGTCACAAAAGGCTCCAACCTTCCACATGATTCCAGCTGAACTGCATCAAGTCTCCTGCATGGGCTGAGAAAGCTCCGTGCTAGCACTATGCTCAGTGGCACATCCTCCAAAATCCCCTGACAGTAAGGTACTCTGGAGGCTCCTAGACAGCCTGCCTTCAGCTGGCTAGAACTCCTGGGAGAACTGGAGGCTGAGCAGCTGGATACTCTCAGGCAGAAGTAGGCTGCTGGGTAATCTTGGATGCAAACCAGTTGTTGAAAGGTCCAGAATTTATGAGATTAAGGAATTCTATTCCTGTGACAGTGCAGAAGTAGAGGGTCAGTGCTCCTAAGACTTCCTGCAGATTCCAGCTGTGAAGATGGGTTATGTTCTTGCTTCAGTACACAAGAGGGAATTTCCATATGCTTCTGTTTTACTCTGTATGTAACCGTGGAATGCATTTTTTCTGAGGTCTGCCACACTGAGCTCAGGGTTCTGACATTTCTCTTTCTGAATCCAGTGATGACAAACCCCAAGATTCAGGGTCCCCCGGCCATTTTCCTTATGTGGGATTCCACTTTGGGTCTGATATTTTGATCTTTAGAGCAGAGAAAATTCTCAGTGGCTTCAGTGGGAGTTTGTTCACAGAGTCTGAAGACCTGGGTCAGCTCTGAGACCCCCTTCCATGAAGCATTCCCAGTCAAGTTGGATGGAGGCAAAGGCATAAACCACAGCTCCAAACTGGGACTTCCATAGAGCCTGGGATGTTTGGGAATTATTTAGAGTGATCTTTAATTATAAGCAATGTACTCTATGATGTGCTGCCAAAATCATAGAGACAGACTCCCTCAAAGACTCCTGTCTCAGTTGGCATAAGATGTGACGCTCCTTAAATAAATCTACCTTCAAAACAGAACCTAAATTAAAACAGATCTTTCCCCCATAAAAACAGTCACCAGGTAGCAGATGCTGCTGGGCAGGAGGAAAGCCTGCAGGGGAGGACTCATGTTCACGTCAGTAGCTTGGCTCTGACTCCAGCACTGGTGATGCTGGCAGACAGACTTGCCAGGAGGGAAGGATCAGAGGAGGAGTTTAGAGGGGAATGGTTATGTCCAGAGGAATTAAAAGGTATAACTTTCAGCAGTTCAGTACCAATCTCAGAGACAACTATTTACAACAAATTACTTCTGAGCTCTCCCTCTAACTCACTGCATCCTACAGGTTGCCAGTCAAACTGAAACTTTGGTGGACCGACAGGACCCAAGGGATTTTCATTTTTAGATAAAGCTCAAACATCAGCATTTTACAGTGAAAAATGACTGCATCTGTATACTCCTCATCTGTTGCCAGTGGCTTGTGTGTCCCAATTCAACATTAACACTTCAGCATGAATTTCACTTTCAGACATGCTCCTACTAAAATTACAGAGGGATAAGGTGCCCTTTTGTTTCATTGAATCAGGCCACAGCAGAAAAAGTGGTGCCAAGCTGCTACTTCTTTTCAGCCTCACAATTGCTTCACATTGCTGTTTTGATTTACATTTTCAAATCTGCCTGTGAAGCTAGATGGTGGTTTTCCCTTCCACTCCTCTAAACCAAAGCAAAGATTCACACTCCTGTCAGAAGGCTGCCTTAGTCATTACCTTAGGGCTCCCAGGAGCCCCTACAGCCTCCCTCCACTGAACACATTTGTATAAGCACCTTTTGAACACTTCAGGAGCTACTTCTCTGCTAGTTAATGCCTGGGGTTGGACGCTCCTGCTAACACCGGTCCTTGGTAGTTCACTGTGCATATCAGTGGGGGTGGATTCTAGCCCTCTGCAGCTAATTATGGTTCCTCTTTGATTTTTTTTAGAATGAATGTTGCATAAACAAATGTATCTGTATTTCAGTTTTGCCTGACAAACAGGCCTCAATAAACTGATTTTTCTGGGTGCTAATAGATTGTATGTGTGATATTCAGTTCAGAAAATAAACAAGTGACCTATGACATGTGGGAAGCATTTGCTATTTCTGCATTTAAAATTATCAAAGTAATACTGAATACTTCTTAGTGTATACAATTTTGTGGTTATTAATTCCCCAGAAAGAAATTTTTACTAATATATCCTTCTAAATAGATTTTTAAAAAACACATCTACTGTAAGGGAAAAAAAGAAGACTATTTTCAAAAGACCATATAGATCTCTGCCAATGGTGGGTATGTCCTTTTCCACAAGCTACTGAGGCAACTTCTTTAATCCTGAAACCCAGACTGAGACAAATCTCCTACTGACAGGTACTTCAGACAAGCACAAGCAGTTCTAAGTGTATGTAGACATATGCTCAAATCTGTTTCACCCATTTAAGGAAACTGAAGCCTGGGAAAAATTATACCCTATGTCTGAAACTAAACAAAACAAACCCCCAACCTATTACCAGCTGGAAAGGAAACCTCTCTATGTATATACAGAGTAGCCCAGAAACACTATTGCAGACTTTTAACAGAAATTATACATTTCATATGCTACATTTCACAAATTGTTCCTACAAACTGCACCACGAACAAAGAGGTAAATTAAAACAGGTTTCTTCTGAAGGAGGAAGAAACCATCCTAAAGAAGGAAGACTCATTTGAAACATGAAATTTCTCTCATGAATAATCCTGTATATCTTATAATAGTATTTTGCTGTAGTGACAAAAATTTCTGCTTCCTGTGACAGAAAGACACCAACAAAATTATTTCACTAACAAGGATTCAGGGACTTTATTTTGATAGCCTTTCCAAAAGACATAAATGATACGCAGATAAAGAAAATAGTCCTTAAAACATTGAAACAGTCCAATGGTAGTTATAAATGCCAACACTTGCATATTTATGTATACAGAAAATAAAGCCAGTGGTCATTTTGGTTCTGGTATTGCTTTCAGCTGAAATCAATGGCAAAACCCAATTTAACTGTAATGTGAGGAGAAATGAAGACTCATATAATTTCCTATATGGAAATACAAGTATGATCTATCTAATTTCTGTACAAATGACTTGAGTCTGGAAGACAGAATTCAAAGGAAGCAACTGTACATGGGTTACGCATCAGATTCATATTAGCAACACACCACTCTTTGCTCTAAGTAACATGAAACAGCAATACTACTTACTCTTCTTCCCTTAGGTCCCTGTGGCCCCGGTGGTCCTCTTGTACCTGAAGGTCCCTATGTATCAAATAAACTTATTATTCATTATATTCTATAGACAGGTTTCTGAAAATTACAAGGCTCATGCACATTAAGCAATAGTCAATGCAACCAATACAAATCAGTCACTTTCACTCATGGTTCAAATTCAATTAACTGTGTTAGTACAATTTATCTAGAAAAATCGAAATAATAGGCTCCACATAACTTTATTCTGAATAAGAAATCATTATGTGATTAAAAAAACCTAATAATTTGTCATAAAAGATTTTTATCTATACCAAAGACCCATAGTAGCCAAATTATAACACAATTATACACAGCAAAATTAGAATATAATTTGTTTTTATTAACAATAAAGCTAAACACAGATAGACATATTCAAATTATATTAGGTATCAATGAATTAAAAAGAAAATTGTTGTACAATTATAAACCATCTTTAAAAAAAAAAAATCTATTCCCCTACTTGTCTCAACGGTGTGATTTTTAAATGGATGAGTACATTATATAATTAATTTTCCTGTCTCTCATGGATCATCCTGGTAAAGAGCAAGTGAACAGACTTTGTGTCTGGATGGGTAAATTCTCATGAGAGTTTTACAGACTGCAGCACAAATTATAAATCATTTTTTACTTTAGCAGAGCAAAAAAGACAAATTGAAGGTGGTACATTTTATGTTAAACCACAGCACTGCTCTATACCTACAGGTAATCCTTCTGGCCCCACAGGTCCAGGGCCTCCTGGGGGTCCTGGGTAGCCCTAGAATTAAAATAAATATAGAAAAGACAGAACAGTTTTGTCAAAATTGTTATTATAACAACAACAATAAATCCAGTGACTTACTTGAAAAATTGGAGGCAAGTTAATAAAATGTTTAGTCTTGCAAAATTTATTCCCCAAATTTTGTTTAGAAAACAGCTATTTGTTTGGATATATCACAATAATCATTAAAGTAACCTAGGAAGTTTTCCCACACAGGCACTAGCTGACAGGGATTTACTGAAACAAAAGCTGCTGAGTTCTAAATGAATTTCAGAATGCTCAGGTCATGTTGTGACAGCGGAAAGAGAAAGGGCACAGCCTGGTGCGGGCAGGACTGGTCAAGACAAAATGCATTCTCTACATATTCTGGAGCCATCACAGTGCTTGCTAGCAAGCATACAATCAAAGCCTAACCACTTCTCCTTGAGAACTTCAACATGAATGTGACAATGGGCACATGCCTACCGCTTTTTACTTCTGTGCTGCATCATCACCACAGTGGCCTCTAAATTGCCAATGCCACAGGAAAGGTTGCATTCTGATTCAGGACAAGTGGTGTTGTCAGGAAGCCAGTCCTCCCACCACAGCGGCACCCAGGGGCTGTCTGGGTACTGCTGTGCAGTAGGATTAGAGGTGATGCTGGTTACCAGTCTGTCTATTAGAATAACTTGTGTTAGGCCAGTCTACACAAGAGATCATTCATTTACTTTCCCTCCTTTATTTAGCTCTCCTTTCAATTAATTGTGTTTAATTTCTATGTAAGTCTGCCTAGAGCCATTTTTCTAAAATGCAGTTGCTCCACTGCTTCATTCAGCAGATCACTTTGCAATGTCACTTCCACAAAGGGGATAAAGCTGCTAAACGAAAATTCCTAGGAACAACGCATCATAAATGGTACTTTTTTCCATAAAGCTTGCATAGTCAGAAGAATGAGAATTTATTACTGTTTTGGAAAGTAAAGTGCCTTTGTAAGTAACATAATCCTAGATTCTATGTTATTTGTGACTTACCATGACACCTTTCTCCCCAGGAGGACCTACTGGTCCTGGACTGCCTCGCTCTCCCTTTAATGAAAAATTAAAACAACAGTGAGTGCTCTTTTACAAACTCAATCTCTTCTAGGTGTATCTGGCCAACGAGGTTAACCTGCAATAACAATACTACAGCAATCCAAGAGTTCTTTCATGAGGGTTGTAGCCCATAGTCTACAAGAGACTTGGTTGCTAAAGAGAATGATTTTTTGCAATGCATAACACCATCGGTTCAGGGACTGTGCTTTAGAAACACTGCAGAGGCCTTTCTTCACTTTTACTGAATTTCTGCACTCCTTCCTTCTACACCCATATTTTAAAAACATGATATAACTGAATTTCTGTCTTCCTTTTTCCGAGAAGACTGAAGAAGAGATTTGGTACTACATCAGTCTTTGTGGACTGCAGCTAGCAGATCTCTCCTCTCTGTTGGGTGCATCACATTTACAATTATGTTGTCCTTTAATCCAAAAAAATTCTCCACAGCAAACAAGCAAAAAAGAAAATGTTCCCCTCTCCCTCATTTCCTCAGTATGGGTTAGGAAAGCACAGATCTAAAAGCAAGACCAGCCCTTCAGCAGTTGCAGAAGCAATTGGAGTAGGGGAAGTAGGAAAGGTCTCTTTCTTGTCTTACATACTTTCTCACCTTTTATTCATACAACATCCAGTCCAAACATCAGGCTAGGCTGTAGATCATCCCCATACAAATATTACATGTTTGTTGCAGATAGTATACATGACATAGTGATAACGCTATATTTTATGTTATGTACCGTTAAAGATACATTTCTTTCAAATAATTATGCTGGATATTTGTCATTTAAATCCACAATGTATGTTTACATAAAAGAGGAGGATAATAAATTCTACAGAAACAGCACAGCAATGACAACAATTAGTGCAGCATGAAGAAATTTGCTTCCATTTGCTGATAGATTAGTTAGTCTTTTACTGCCTTTTCCCTCTTAGCTTAACTAGCAGCAGCATCCCAAGGTAATCTTTGTTGGGCTAAATGTAATTATAAAGAATAAAAACTATTTGACAGTGAATTCTAAGATGATATTATGATTAAAACTATGAGATTTGTCTAAATTTTAGTTTTAACAAGCAGTGCTTTCTACTGATGTATTTCCTTTCATAGATTACATAAATTATAATCAGATTATTAAGACTTTTTCAATAAAATAGCTAAATAGCAGCCACCAATCTAGGTAAAATAATTCAGCCCTGCAGGGAATAAATATAAATGCTGCTGGATTCTTCTGACAAACAATTATGTGATTATTACAATTGAAGCTGACGTGCTGTCCAGTAATAGTTTCTTGTTTTTCAGTTTTAAATTACTTCACCTAAATAAAACCATGTCAAATATGCTTAAGCTATTTATACTGTTCTAGTCACATCAAGTCCGCCAAACTCTGCTTTCATAAACACAACTGTTACTGCATAGCAGAGAAAACTAACAATGTTGTCTTCTCTACTCAGTTAATGCATACAGCCAAATTTTACTTTTCTACTTTTCTCTCCATTATGTAGCAGTGCATAACCAGTGACTACTGGTATATGTGTATAAAGCATATTTTTTGCCAGTTTCTGTGAATCAATAGCAGCAGATAGTGAAGTGCCATAATATGAACAAGATATCAAATCCATCAGCTCTAAATTCACTGCCAGGTAAAATCAAGGATAGTAGATGCATACGTCAAATAACAGCATTTGAGTTATCATTTCTTACATCCCTGTGCTCTAAAATAACTACACAAATACTAGCTTTATCAATGGTCAGTAACCAATCTCTCACCAATATTTTATCACCCCAACGGTTTTCAAAGCTGATTTTTGCTGCTGAGTAGTCAGATATGTTATTATACCTTTTCACCGGGGCTTCCAGATGGCCCAGTTTCTCCTGGTAAGCCAGCTGACCCCTGTACAAAAAGCAAGCAGACTTTCATTTGTACAATATCCATACTAGTTCAAGGCTGGCAGTCGCCCAGCAACCCAGAAGCAGAGCACGGCACTTTTCTTTATCCCAGAGAACCCCTGGTCTATTTGTGTAAGTGCTCCTGTGGGGAAGTGAGGACTGCATAAGCTAACCTGGCTTACAATCCATGCAGGAGGATCACTGCATCTAGAGACACCAACAGTAAATAGTTACTGCTGGAAAAGAAATTACATTAATTTAATCACGATACTGCACTATCATCTAAGGTCTGCCACTGAGCTCAGTCTTGCAGTGCTAGAAGCTTTACAAACATACAATTAAAGGTGATAATTGCTCTGCTAGTGCTTCAGTCTGATCACAAATTTCAAGGGAAATAAATTCAGTGGAGCAAAGTAAAAGCCAGTCAAAATAAAAATTATATTGGATCTGGTGTTGTCAGAATTTCCCCTTTAAGTGTTCTAGCCCGAAATGCCTTTGAAGTCAGGGGATGGGAGCTTTTCAGTCATTTTAAAAATGAAGTAACTTTCTCCTGAGGCTCTCCCACAAATTTTCACTGGGCAGAACAAGTGCCACCACATGGAATGGGAAACATGAGAGGAAGTACTTTTAAAAAGCTTATTCCTAAGTGCTTACAATACTCTCTTTATTATGAAACAAAAAGAAAAAAAAATTATTGTGCAAGGCCCCAACTGAGAAAAGTATGAAACAATGAGCTTGAAGAAAAAGCAATAGGTGCCCAGAATACATTGCATGACTGCTCATGAAAGACAGCAGAAATGTGGAAGCTCCTAGTAGTGTCATAATACACAACTGTACTGCGTCTGTAACACTTTAAAAATCAAAAGTTATTTGCACTTAAAAAAATGACAACTCAAATATTGGTATTACTATCTCTACACGTGTAGGAAGGTACTAGCTTAAGTAGCACTGTACTGGCACTTGAGTTTGGTTGTGTTTGGGGTTTTTTGTTTTTTTTGGTTTTTTTTAAGTGTTACCTCTGAGCTCACTAGACAGCCCATATTCCTTTCAAGAGCCTAGTAGTAATTTTATACCATAGAAATAGAAAGAAAACATTCCAGTCTGAGATCTCTGTGAAAAAAAAGTACCTTTTTTAGCTTTTACCTGCATAATTTCAAGAGAGCTCAGCCTCAAGTACTTTAACCTAACAAGTGCAAAGGAACTAAGGCTTTATCATGGCTTCTTATTTTCTTGGGTTGCTAGCTCCTCTAGAAATCTCATAGTTTAAATATATTGCAATAAGCCATTGACACAGTTGCCTTTGAAGGTAACAATACTGGCACAAACTACTTTCTAGAAGGGGCTAAAGAGATAAACAAACATCTCTGGCTGCTGGACTGATGTGTTATGTGTGAGAACGTGTGTATTATATGTCAGAACTGAGACGTCTCTTGGCAGCAGCCAAAGATTCATCCTGGTGATGCTGGCACTAAAGTGATGCCCAGACGTCACTGGCAGGAATGAGGGACTCTCCTGATGAACTCTGAGAATGAGAGCTACCACTGCTACCAGTTATGGCCAAGAGTTGGCCTCAGCACCAGCAGAAACCTGTGAGACAAAGAATTACCCTGTGCTCTTGCTCATCAAGATAAGAGATGTGGAGGTACAGTTTCAGAAGGCTAAAGACTAATCACTTTGATTCTCTTATTCCAGAAAGGACAGAAGATGTAATCAGAGCCAAGATGTAACCCAGACCTATTATTCCACAGAGACACTCCTGATCTCCCAGCCAATGCCACACTGTTTACATGTCTGAAGATACTGATTAGGAAGATGGGTAGCTGTGCCTTGCACAAGCAGTGAACCATTTACTATAAAGCCCCCGATCAAGTCCCCTTTTCAATTCAGAAGTATCATCTTTCTGTCTTAGTTGCTCTGGTCTGAAAAAGAAGGTTTGACTAGGAAGGAGTGATTGTGAATGTGCTGTTGTATTACCCAGCACATTAGGTCTAGCCTACAACAACTTCCAGAGCAAGGACAAAATTTGGCTATCAGTCAGCAAGTTTCCTAGACACTGGCTGTTCCTCAGAAGAAAGTAGTTAAATAAAGAAAATTTACAGTAAAAATGCTAAAAGAAGAAAGTGGATTTTTGTTGATACAAAACATGGAAAACAACTTCTGCATGAGTGGAAGTGGATACGTATGGAAAGCAAAAAAATAGTCAAGATAACAAGAAGAATTGAAAAAACAGAGTGCAGGTTTCTGAAACCACGATAAAGCTGGTACGTGCAGAGGCAAGAGAATAAAAAAAAAACTTGCTTAGAAATACAATTTTGGTCCTTAAAACAATTAGTAGCATACAGTGAAAAGAAAGCGCAATCAGAGAACAAAACATCTTGTTCCATCAATATATTATCCATAAAGTGCTGTTTTTCCTATGGACTATCTTAAAGATCATGTGGCTCCTTAGATCCCAGATTTGGGGGTTGGTTTATTATAGAGACCAGCCACTAGGACAGGATTGAGGTTTCAAAACTCCCTCCTTCTTATGTAAGAGGATGCACACAGTCCAAAGCAGGTTTGTTGAGTAAGTGTGTTCCAGCATCCCTTCAATCCTTTGGGGTGCAGTGGTGGATTCCAAAAATCAAACTGAATGTATTAGGCAACAGAAAAGTAAAGCAAGAAACCCCTGACAGTAAAAAACAAACAAACAAACAAAATCCCAACAAAACCATCATGGTTTTAAACCTTATTAAAAAAAAGAGTCACAAACTTTCATTTACAAGGTCTTCTGTAAAACTCTCCAGTGATAATAACAGCATTTTAGAAACCATCTTGACAAGAGTATTTTCATGGAAAATGACTTGGAGATGAGATCTCACAACTAACACATGCCTGAGAAAGAATTTATATTAATCTGTATCCAATAGGTTTCTGGAAAAAGCTGAACTAGTTCCTTCTTCTGAAGTCCTGGGCAATGCCCCATGCATTCACCAGTCTTTGAAAAAACAAAAAACAACCCGAAACATTTTCCTCGACTCACTCTTCTTTTGGGCCTATGGCTTACAATTTTCATTTGTATAACCCCAAAGCCCAGATTTTTCATGACAGTTCAAAGAACTCCTTCTATTGAGCTCCTGAAAACATCAGCTAAAGCCCATTTAATCATTTCTTCAAGAAAAAGTTTCCATTCTCCATGAACTAAGCATCCCTGGTGCCTAATCCAGCTAATTTTTACCTCTGCAGGAGATGTGGGAATTACTTTATGGGAATTCTTCTCAAAAGCAATTCAACTCCTAGGCACGTGGCCCGATGGCAGGGTTTTCTTGCCTTCACACAGATTCTCACAGGCTGACCACTGCCACTGCCAGCCTACATATCACTTTTGTTTCTTTGCTGGACTGTAACTTTTAATTCTTTTTACCTCTTTTTTTTTTGGGGGGGG